GGAGAGAAACTGATATCCTACAAGTAGCTTACACCAAGCTATGTGTATAATAGTTGTTAAAAAGAGTAGTGATAGAAGTAATACCAGTAAATCTTGGAAGTGTTTAAAGAAAGAAATATTTTTTAAAAAATTAATCTTTTAATTAAAAGATTGCCTGATCCTCAATGATCACTGCTTCAAGCTGCCCTTTTCCTTTGGATGTAGGACTAGAGTTTGTTCATTGTTTTTTGCTGCCACGTGAAGAATTGCACAGTCCTTCCACTCTGAGGCTCTTTTTTTGTTCTCTTTCCAAGACTGAGGTTAAAGCACATTAAAACAAGTCACTGAAAAAGCAACAGGAGGATATTGCTCTACTATGCTAAGCAGTTCAGTTGGAAAGCTTTCATGAAGAGCTGCTCTTAATGAATGTGTGACCTATGCAATGCCTACTCCTGCTCTCGGAGTCTTTGAAGCAGAAGACATGACCAGTGTGTTTAAAACTACAAAATTTGAATGGTGGTTATCACTTCATAGCACTATTGTTTAGCAGCTTAACTGCTTGGTTTATCTTTGTACAGGTGTGTTTTCTGAATTGTTTTGAATCATGTAGACCCTCTCAGCACATGGTTGCTGTCAACGTTGCTGTCAGTGAGGTGAGGCACAGGACCTCTGTTCCCATTTGCCTCACACTGTGCTTTCCCCTTCCTCCCCCACCTTTTTTTCACACCCTTATCACCACTGTACTTCATCTAATGCCTCTGTGTTAAAAGTAATATTCCACTCTGTGACTAAAGGGATTTAAATGCTGTCTGTGCAGACCAGGCAACTATGATGGAGTTACCTGTTCTGTGCTCCCTTATTTAAATTCCACAAATAAATAACAGCAGTGATGAATCCTTTTAAACTGCTACCACTCTGTCAATGCCTACAGTTCCTTGTGGATCTTTCTTCTGCAAATTTGTGACAGGAAATTACAGAAAATAAACATGAAAATGTTACTGTACATTTCATTAAGCAGAGCAATTTCCTCTGGTAAAGTGGCCAAAATGTCAGAAGATATTCTCTGACAATGTTTCAGATCAGACTGATCTATTTTGGTGGGTCAGATTACACTTGTTAAGAACCAAGGATGAGGGAAGCACGCAATTTGGAAATAGAATTGAGGGTGAACAGTACAGACACATTTTCTCAGTTTCTGGTCTCCTGATAGCCCTTGATACTTTCTTATGTAAGGTGACTGTGTGACTGTGAGCTGCCCTTCTCTGTTTCCATCTGAGCTGATAGCAGAGGGTATGTGAGCAGAGAGACAATTTCAAGGTAAAAAGCAAAGGAGACAAACCCCTTTCTGGCTCAGCTTATCGAGTTCTCTGTATCTATTGTTTCTGCACAGTCAGTCAGTGGCAGAGGCCCATTGCAGGGAATCTTTCTGGACATTACTTGTCCCCATGGACACGGACCCCGTAAATGAGTTTCACTGACTCCTTTGTGACTGCCTAAATCACAGCTGTGAGAACAAGATGGGTAGCAGTGAGTGACCAACAAAGGCCCATGTAGGAGACGCTCTGAGCTGGGGAGGTGACGTTCTGTGCCGTGGGCTGTCACCATGGAGCGTGCTGACCTGCACAGCTGCATTGCCAGAGTTCAGGCAGGTTTCATCTGTAGCAGGTTTCATCTGTAGCAGGTATCACTAGCAGGTGAGATGTCATTCAAGTGCTACTCCAACAATTTTAGGGAGGTTTCCCATGGTTTTAGACTACGTTTCCAGTATCCAGGAAACTCTTTTTTGTCACACTATATTAGGAACGGCGAAGTAAAGACACAGACTCTCTTAGCTGGGTTGCCCAAAAGAGGTTGTTTTATTATTCCTGATCTACATTTATAGACAGGTTCAAGAAGGTCTGAGAGGTAAAATTCTCATTGGTCATTAAACCAACACATCACTATTATTGGACAATTAGGAACAACACCCTTTGACTGTTTCTTGCAAGTAAACAACAAGGATCTAAACAACACCTGCAAAGGTTGTTGTCCTTCTCCAAGGACTCTTTGGATTCCCCTTTATGCTTTCTCAGGCCAGAGTGAGAACCTTGTGTGACTTAGTTTCACACAGGCTCTGTGCTCCCTGCCTGCTTTCAGCATCCATACCCATTTACTAAGCTTTGCTTCATGAGTGGTTGGGTTCAGCTCTTACCACTGGATGAAACTTCCCTATCCATTTACTAGCATGTGTGTTTGATTTTAGAAGGATTTAGAGGAGGATAAACTAAACTTTCCCTGAGGTAGAGATTTTCTACTTCCTCAGGATTACTGAAGTCTAAGCGCACAATTTGTACAAGCTGTAATTCCACCTCCCAGAACCATTGTGACTGAGAAAGATTGAAAGGCTGAGAGGAGATACAGCAATCACATTCATTTAGAGAAAAACATCAATAAAGTATTCTTTTTCATTGAATTAAAAATAAAGTGAAAGATGAACATTTGAAGAAATGAAAACCTGATTTAACTTTGAGAGAATGGCTAATACAAAATACAGCTATGAGAATGTTAAATACAATCTTCTTCTAAAGACTTTCTAAGGTAAGTGATATCAAAATGGTGGAAAGCTTTAGTCTGGCTAAAGTTGTATTTCCATATACATGACTGCATAAACATGAGTGCCACTGATGAATTCATTGTCCCTCAGCCAGCTCACATGACAGCATGAAATTTCATGCAGTCATGGCCATAAACCAGATCAGGAATTGGTCCAGATGAAACTCATCTGGGAATTTTTTTTAAATTTTTTTTATTTTTTTTTTACATCGACAGACTTTGTAGCCTCATTCATCACATAGCTACAGGAACTTTCAAATGACTAACGAGAAAAGCCCTCATGGAGAAACACCTGGACAGTCAACCAGCTCTTTTCAGTGGCTGGGTCAAACAAGACTGATAGAAGCCTGGGAAGCTGGACCTTCAGAACAGCTGTGCTTTGTCAGGCCCTACTAAAAACCCTCTGAGCTCTTACCTAAGATCAATGAAATTTGATGGGAAGGTAGAGCTCTAATACAATATTTCGTACAGGTTTTGGTGAAACTGGTACACAGGAGTAAGGCTGGAGAGGCCAACGTTTCCTTCTTCACTGCAAAAGCCACAGAACCCAGCTGCCTGAGTACCTCTGCCCCAAAACACTGCTGTCTCTGTGCAGGACATGGAAAAATGGGGATATTATGGTAAAGGAGGGAAGGCTAAGGAGAGGAGGCATTACTATTCATAAAGCTATTAATTAGGTTTTTTCCTTTGGAAAGTGCTTATATTTCAGAGCTTTTCCCCACAGCTCTGTGCATAAAAGGGAGAGAGAGATCTTTCACTGGAAAGATCAAGATGCCTACAAGGTATCCATCCATAAGCCATATTGATTGCATCAGCCTGATTTTAAGATACTATTTCCATCTTCATACTCCAGACAGAAAAGCCCCTCTCCTGCCTCATATCTGCAGGCTGTGCTCAAGGAGTGTAAGCACATCTCTGTCCCTTTCTTGGCACCCTCAGAGCTCAAGGGCTTGGAAGTGGTGCTGTCTTGAAGAGCTGTGGATACTGTAGCAAATCACTCTCTAGCTTACAGGGACTGCAGTCCTGCTTCCAAGGGCACAGCAGAAAGCCAGAGGGATAGGTAGGTCCAACCCAAGGGCCTGTAGGCTTGCAGGCACAAGCATCAGAGCAGGCTTGGAAGGCAAGCTGTGGAGCTGAGACATTTCTGTGGCTCTTGTGAGGTGCATGTGTTCAAGAGGACTGGCTTGGGGACAGCAAGGATGTGGAGTGTGTGTTTGTATCTGCATTTGACCTGTGGACTCCCACAGCTCTAGAGGAAGCAGCGGTGTATGCTTCTCTAAAATAAAAGGTGTGGTTGAGTCATATTTATGCTCTTTATTATCTGCTGATAGTTTAACTAAGTCAGCCAGACTAAAGGGTGAACAAGGCTTTCCCAGTTCAGGCCCCTTCACCAATGCAAGTGGAATCTGCTGTAAAGGGCTGAGGTCTTGCAGGTATCCATGAAGCCACTAGGAAATTTGGCTGGTTTAGACCACCTTCCACAGGGGTGGAAGGATGGGCTTCCTCACAAGGGTGTTGGGGACTTCATTGATGTGCCTAATGCAAACTCACAGTGTGATGATAGGTGTGAAATAGAAATCTAAGGCAGCACATCTGAAAAGTGTGGAGTAAAGGTGTGTGGTCATGCACTGNAACTTAATTTGTACTTTCTTACTTAAGTTTTATTTCAAATATGAATGAGATAAAGTGTTTCTGCTCAAACTAAGCTTCAACACAGCAAATTTAGTACTACTTTTTAACTGCCCATTTTCATGCATATATGAATATTTGCTTAGAGCCTCCAGCAAATTGTCTTTAGGAAACAAGGCAAGAGCCAGTTCAAGAAAAGAAAAAGTAATATAATAAAATATATAATAATATATGTATTAATATATATTAATATAAGTAATATAAAGCAGCATTAAACTTATTATCCTCCAAGTCTGTTTTTCTAATATGTTTCAGGAGTTTGCAGTACAATCTCTAATCTGTATACTACAGATAAAAACTTTAGATATAAATAGGAGATAAAATACTGTAAAAGTCCAGTTAGCTTTATTGAATAATCTTCATTTTCAGATTTTCACTTTGGAGCTCCAACTTTAAAAGTTCGTATTAATGTTAATATTTTTCATATTTTTTTTATTTCTTTAGAATTGCAAATATAATGTGCAATATGTGTTAAACATGAATAAGTCTTAGGAATTATATTCTGAAATTTAATATGTACTGTATATAATACATTATTTTATTCTGAACTATGTTATAATACTATGAATTATAATCTGAAGTTTAGTGGAGAAGAAATGGCAGAGATGTTTCATAGTGCAATATATATATGTTAGGTTCCTCATAGAGGAATAAAAATGAATTGTTCTGCATACAACATTACAGAATTGTTGTCTAGGAATTAACTGATTCTTGCATTTCAGTTGTTTGGATGGCTCTTCTATAAAATCCAGCCCAAAACATTGGTCTTTGCTATTTTAGCATTGATGACAATAGAGGGATCTGCAAACCTTCGAACTCAGTGGAACATCATGGGAGAATTTAGCAATTTGCCACAGGAAGAACTTTTAGAGTGGATAAAAGTCAATACCAGACAAGGTAAACTATTCATTAATATAGGATGTTCCCATTTATTGTGAGGTCAAACCATGGAACCTGTCAGAAATGACTGCAGAGGTGTCTGCTACTGTCTGTGGCTCTGGCATGTCTACTTGTCCACATAAAAGCTAGGTTCAATGGAAAAAAGCACCAAAAGCTTGCTTTGTTAGATTCCAGACTACTGATCTGGAGCTTCTAACCATTAGTGGAGTATTTTCAACAAAAGCATCTTTGTCAAGTCAAATTAAGATAGATTTTTACTTAAATGACTCTGGTCCTGTATGTGGGTTAAAGCTGTAGTGGACTGAAATTTTATTGCCCATTTAACACTGGTGAAAGAAGTGACAAAAGTGTGTTGTTATAATGAGTATGTTATTCTACTAATTAAAAAAAAAAATGCATTAAATCTTCACTCTTAGATGCTTAGTTATCTAATAGCTTATATTCAAGGTTAAAAAAAAACCCAAATTAAAACTGATTTTGTGCATTTCCTGTTGATGTCACATACAGCCTTTTAAAAAGGAGTACCTTACCCTCTTCATGATTTTTCTACAGGATTACTGTTCAGACATTTGAATTGCTTCTCTAACTGTTTGATTCCTCATTTCAAAAATGCCTTTGATTGTGTATTTCAGATGCAGTTTTTGCAGGAGCAATGCCTACAATGGCAAGTGTTAAATTGTCTACGCTTCGTCCTATTGTTAATCATCCTCACTATGAAGATGCAGGATTAAGGTAAATTTTGCAATTGATGTTTTATTTGCATCTGCTCTTGATTCTCATAGTGTTTGTAATACACAGTAGGAATGGCATCATGTTATATTGTAAAATTTGTTAAAATCTCACAGACTTGGATTTGTTATTTCAGTCAGATTGAAAACACATGCATTATTTCTTGAGGATTTGTCTTCATCAGAATGGATATACTCCAGGGACAGATACGACTTCAAACTAACATCCAAGAAAATCAGAATTAAATTATGGAATTGGATTTCATCTGTACAATTATATCCTTTCTTCATTCTAGTTACTCCTGACATTGTAGACAGATATTTTTTTTTCCAAGATAGCTAGGGTATTTATTTCTGTTATCTTTCTGTGATTGGCTGTCATTTTTTAGGATAATTGGTTAATTATTGAAGCTGAAACTTTGTAGTGGAATTACTAAGATTTGTACTCTTCTTGTTTTCAAAATCAGGGTATTTTCCGAAATTTAAATTGATTTATCTGCAAAGGTCATTAATTTTTTTTACTAAATTTAATAGTGTTGCATCATTTTTTTTGTTAATTTGGTGTAACTACTTAAATCCAACACAACAAGAAAGCAGCAAGGTAGAGGGAGTTAAAAGAGAAAGGGCAAGAATTCATTCTACGTGCCTTATGTCCTTAGTTTTCTGTCTGGCATTAACTGTCTGGCTTTAACTTTTGGTCAGCCCTGAATTGGACAGTGGGACTTAGATGATCACTGTAGTCCCTTTCAGCTGAAATATTCTGTCCTAGTTACAAAATCACGGGACAGGGTGTTTGGGGAAAAATAAGGTACAGGCAGCACTCCTGTTAAGTATGAGAAAATGAACAGGCTTTAACAGCATCATGCTTTGCACGTACAGAGGAGGATATTAGTGGATGTGGTATGGACTGGCCTGGTTTTGAGGGACCTTAAAGGTCATCTGGTTCCAAAACAAGATCATGGTGTCCAAGGGCTGATTTTGCTTGACTGCTGTAGGCAGACTCCAGGTGCATTTTGAAAATGCTCTGCATTTCAAAATGTCCCAGCAAGGGCAGAGTGACCACAGTGACACTCGATGACGGGGATATTTTGTGGAGAGACTCACAGAGGATTGATTCCTCCTGGTCACCCCAGTCCAAGCAAGGTTGTTTCTAGCCTTGAGTATTACATGGTGAATACATTGCTTTGACATCTTTATACTTTCAGTTCACAGTACCCATAGATCTTGTTATAAAGTTGTCTCCTGCTGCAGGAAAACCAAAGGGCTGTATTACTTGTTCTTGGAATCATTATATTTGTGAAGACGTAATCATACTTAAGCAAGTGGCACAATTAATGTAAACCTTGCTTTAGCAGTTACCTTGTGAAATAAAAAGCCTTCCTCTCCAGTCTAAGGTTAAAGCTTAACATTTTCATGCTCTATTGCAGCTAACCCTTAGATTTTTCTTTTTGAAGGGCCAGAACTAAAATAGTGTATTCCATGTACAGTCGAAAACCTGCAAGCCAAGTAAAAAGAGATTTAATAAAACTAGGAGTGAATTACTACATCCTTGAAGAGTCATTGTGTGTAAGCAGAAAAAAGTAAGTAATCTCCCTTTTTCTCACAAGAATGATACACCCCTCAAATACGTAGTCGAAGATTCTTATCAAGTTTTGAAATGTTGATTTGTGCTTTATTTATTAAAAGTGTTCAAAATACATTTTTGTCCAGCATCTATAGATAGTAATTGCTAAAATTGACTTTACCCTCATTAGCAACCCTGTGTTCTTTGTGTGAACCTGGAAAGCTGTGTTGTATGGTTTTTTAAACTTCACTGGAAAACAAAGAAGTCATTACAAAGGAAAGAAGTAATTATTCTCTGATGGCAAGAACAGATGTATGTGTATAATGAAAGCCTAGTATGAATAAGGTGCAGAGTAAAAGATAGAGCACCAAAATGTTATGACCACTAATACTCACTAAAAATTTTATCACATTTAAGATTACTTCAGAAAGAGCTATGCTTTTTCTTCCCCCTCCTCTCCTCTTGGTTTCTCTTTCTGGCCTCCAGAACACAATTTTAATTTTATTTTATTTTCATTTAGAATAAAATTAAATATGTCTCTTTAATTTCTTTGCTATTCTCATTCATAAAATTAGAAAATTCTGTTATTGTAACTTTGAAAGGCAACTGTACAGGGAATTGATGTTGGCTGTGATCTTTTATAAAAAGCAAGAAGTTACTACTTTTTTAAGGTGTTTTATTTCCTGAATTTTCTTTTGAAATGTTAGCAATATGTATACCACCTTCCATTTTATAGGAAGATTTAAGGGTCCCTGGTAATGTATAATGTATTGCATAACTTGCATTGTTTTATGTGCTTCCTCCTCCAAATTAATTCTTTATTAATTACATAACCACAAAAGCCAGATGCATTTTACAGAGTCTCAATACTATTTTTAAATTACTACTGTATTTATTGATTTTGTAATCTGGTAATTTTTCCAGTATAAAGAACAAACTTAAAAAAATACAGATGAACACAATCAATTATTAATGGGGCACTGTGAAGCAAGCTTTGTGGGTTTTTTATGGTATTTCTTCATTTCTCTTTTTGTATTCCTATTTTTTAGGCCTGGCTGCAGCATGCCTGAAATTTGGGATGTCGAAGATCCTGCTAATAAAGGAAAAATTCCTTTATGTACCCTTATGAGCAAGGATTCCAGGCCATATTTCATCACAGTATTTGAAAATAGCAATTACAGAGTCTTGAAGATTCCAAAGGAATAACATTTCAATGCAATGAAGCATCAGTCTTTCAAATCTTTAAACTAGTAACTGTAAGAATTCTAAGTCAGAAATACCTTTTTTACTAGACTTAAAATGGAAAAATGTGTATTTTATTTTTTACCATTTTAAGTGAATTCTGATTATAGAAGTATCTTAAACCTAACAGTTTGGATTTCTATTTCAGGGTCAGTCCCTTGAGATTTGCTATGCAAATGATTATATGTTTGCACATATTATTTAACACTGATCCAAAAAGAGCTAAAAGTAGCTATGGAAAAGTTGGTAGGTGGACTTGAAACTTCATTTTTCTTGGTGCATGTTATTGGATTCCTATTGATATTAAAAAAAGAAGACTAATAAGGGTAATATTTGCAGTAAGCAATAGTTTAGCTTCTCAGTGTCCAAGGGTTTTTAGCATTCTTATGCATTCAGAATAAGCTGGCGTAATATACATTAAATTTTTAAGGGAAAATGCTTTATTCAGGAAAAAAATCTGTCATAGCCTTAGAAAGATACTAAAATAAATCCTTCACTGCCTTAACTAGACCTTCAGCGCCTAACTTGATAAGAAATTACTTTCAAAATTTAATGCCCTTTTTCCTTTCCCCATATATTAGATCCTGGCTGGACCTTTTCATCAGCATTAAAGAAAAATGAAATTTATCCCAGTTGTGCTATGGGTGTAGTCAGTTGTGTGGGTATAGTCGCTCCAGCATTATTAAACTGGTTCTGCTGTTCTTCTGTCATCCTGATGTCACACCAGTATTATAATTAGATAATAGATATCTCACTTTCCGAGATACCCAGTGCGAGGACACCCTTTAGTCGTTTAACTGACTTGGTAGAATTTTTGTATGTTTGTTGCCAATGAGAGCAATCACAGTAATTGTGATTCTACAGCATCATATGACTTCAAAGGTCTGGTGTTTCGCCGTGTATCATTCATGGTTTGGATTTGTTTCAACTCAGTTTTTTTTGTTCACATCGGTCTATTGGTATGACTGGTCTTTTTAGCCCTAATAGCATCTGGTGGTCCTGGATGTTACAGGGGCATCATCCATCACGCCTGTAACAGTGTCAATTAAATGGGAACCTGTGATAAAATAGTAGTATAACAACTGATCAGTATTCTAAGACGTCTTATTTTTTTATGATCTGTTTTATTGAGAGGGTGAGGGACAATGGCTGAAAATGCATTAGCTTTTTAACTTTTACAGAATAGATTTTGGAAAAATTTCTATAAGGAAACTCAAAAAAAAGGGCTTTTGGGAAGTCACTTTTTAAAATGTTAATTGAATTCAAGGAAGCAGGAAAAAAGTCTTTATATAAACATTGTGACTAGTGTTTCGGCACAAAAAGGTACTGTATTTTTATGAAGTTTATGCCAACTGTTGACATGTACTTACGTGGTTAAATAAAAAAGAGAAAGATGGAAATTGTTCTCATGTTTCTGGTAGGTGTTACACTTCTCTTATGTCTGTTAAACTGAAGTTTAACACAGTTACCACCGCAGATACGATTGAAGCTGAACTTTCAACTAAAAGCACAGAAGGGCTGCAGATGATTAAACCAAACTCACACACCTCTTTCTGGCTTCCTTTTTATTCAAAATATCAGTGCAGGAATATGTGAAAAGACTGGTGGAATAAAGAAACATTTGAAAGGTAAGGTTCAAAGATGTACTTTAAAATTAATTTTAAAATGTTCATCATTTGTTGAGGAAGTGACTGTTATTCAGTACATGGCCAGACATCGCAAATTTTCATCTCCAGGGATATTATGCTGTCCCTCTCTTTGAACTGCTCTGAAACCCAAATACGTATTTTAATCTGTTTGATATTGATGTGATAAAATTTAGTAATGATTGTGAGGAAGAAGAACGTGAATTCTTGAATCAGGTGTCTTACGAATTTGTCATCTTGGTGATTTGATGTCAATTTCAAAGGAAAGAATTTTTGTTAAAATAACACAACATTTAACATAGGAGCACCGTGTTAACATTACGCTTATCACTGCAACATCAACCAGAAAACACAAGTTGGAGGCTTCTTAGCTCTCATTGAAGTTGCTTTTCTCTTTGCAAGATCCTGATCAAAAAATGTGTAACACAATAATGTTAATACATGTAGGCCTTGAAGTAATTTAGGCATGGGACTGGAATACTTCCATACTTGAAGGTACTTTCCATTATGTTTTATTGATATGGGATCATTGTGCTGGTTTTGGCTTTGGGCTGTGTTTTGGCAGAGCCAAGGTGTACTGCCACACTGGCCAGGAAGTTGGGGATGTGTGGGAAGTGGGGAGGAGACACAGCCAGGACAGGTGATCCAAGCTGACCAAAGGGACATTCCAGACCGTCTGACATCATGCTCAGTGTATAATAAAGTGGGGAGAGGGAGGAGGAAGGGAGGGATGTTTGGAGTGATGGTGTTTGTATTCCCAAGTTCACCATTGTGTGTGATGGGGCCCTGCTCTCTCCAGAGATCACCGAACACTTGCCTGCCTATGGGAAGCATTAAATTAATTCCTTGGTTTTTGCTTGTGTGTGCAGCTTTTGCTTTCTATCTTCAACTGTCTGTATCTCAACCCATGAGTTTTCTGGCTTTTGCCCTCCTGATTCTCTCCCCAGTCCTGCTGGTGGAAAAGTGAGCAAGTGCCTGTGTGGGGCTTGGCCGCTTGCTTTGGTTAAACTATGACAATCTGCATGATTTGTCTGTTGGAATCTGAAATATTGCTTGCTTTGCATTAAATTTCTTCAGTACAATGGGCACAATTAGAATTTGGTATCAAACTTCTGATAATTGTGCAAACTTAATAATAAGTATGGAATCCAAATAAAGCACCTTTGTGAAATGAAGGCACTCAGTCCTATTCAGTACTGCCCTGCTCTTCATTCTATTCATACACCATTAAAAAGAAAATGCTCTTTTGCCTGTTTCAGTTGAAACGGTGAACTTGAATCAATCTCTTGAATTTTTATGATTAAGCCATGGAGTTCCAAAACACACGAGTCACTCCAAGTGAAGATATGTAAGGCATGGTGTAAACACAGGGTTGTCAGAAATCAGCAATGTTTTTCTGCATGGCATGCAGAAGGTCTAAATATGGGAGCTGGTCAGTTGTGCAGAATTTGCTTGGGTAGTGAAACCTGTCAGTGCTATAATAAGTTCTCAGCTGTAGCTGTACAACATAAGCACTTTTATTTCAGTACAAAATCAAAGTCAAGTGTTCCAATGAACTGTTTGCAGTGAAGCTATAAGCTGACCTTTTAGGTTGGAACATAGTAGGACAATTTACAAGTTAGGCAGAATCTCCTCAGTAAACTGGCTTGTTTCTGGTCTCATGCTGTAAGTCTCCATTATCAATGTAATTCATAGAATGTCTGAAAGCATCAGGTGCTCAAGTGGGTTCATCATGTAACAGTTCAACAACTTTATTGCTTCCTGTTACAGCATATATGGAACACTTATTGCCAATAGATCATGAGATATGGATAGAAAAAACAGAGTGAATGAATACTATTGATTTCATATCTGGCTGAGGACTCAGAGAGGATCCCTGTGGCCAGTCTTCCACCCTGTCAAGGTTATTAATGTTTAAACTGAGTCTTGAGGGCAAACAGCATTCATTTTGCCCATTTGGTAGGAAAGATGAGATAAACTTTTTAGCCTGAAGAATATGAAAACACTGACTGGATCACATTTACAAGTGATATTGAGCCTGCAACAGGAAAACTTCTCTCCTTTAAATGTTTACCTGAAAGGAGACAAATCACTCTGGTTCATTCTTTAGGCTTGACCAAGCTTATTTTCAAAGCCAGTGCACCAAATTTTGACTTCCCTTACTAATAATTCCTGTGTTAAACAGCTGAAGAGTATCATCTTCATGTTACTAAACAACCCTTTGCTCAGCTTCTCTGACTACCAGTCCCTGGAGTGTCTCAAGGTGCTGTTAGCAAACATTATTTGTAGGCAGTTAATGTTTTGGTGTAGGTATCTCTGCTTGAGCTCTGCAAAAAAAAAAAAAATCCTAGCCTCTTCTGAAGTATTGACTTTTATAGTTTAACTATTTTTGAAAATCCTGATTTTTTCTTGGCTTAAGCAAGGTAGCAAAGCCTGAAAATAGCCCAGAGTAGGATGCCTCCTATATTTTTTCCTAAATTAGCTTTGTGATGGTGTATGAATTGCTGTCTTGGTTTTATTTGGAATGTTAAAATGGAATGCATCTATAGTTGGAGAAGTTTATCTTCTACTGCTTATTAAAAAGCTTTTGAAAAGGCTAAAGTTAGAATCAAGCTTAGTAAATGCACTGAGTATAAATTTTTACATTCCTGGATTATTTCAAAGGCCATTCGACTGAAAACATGAGTTGCATGAAAGAACTAGGTGTAGATGTTTTCCTTAACCTTGTTTTAGATCCTTGTTGGATTTAGCTGCAGTTATTGCAGTCATGTAATAAATAATATTTGATTTGATACATTTTGGCTATTTTTGTGTTACTACATAGTTTTTTCATAAAATGTTTTGGGTTGGAATGGTCCAACCCCCTGCCATGAGCAGGGATACCTCCCACTACTCCAGGTTACTCAAAGCCTCATCCAGTCTGACCTTGAAAAATAAAAAGGAACAATTATTTTGAGAAAGAACAAATGGTAACAAGATGATCAAAAGAGGTTGTATTCTACAGTTTCTTTATTCAGAATTTTAGAATTTGCTACATTCAATGCTTAAAACCAATGAAACTTTACTTAGCAAGTGGTGCTTATAGAATCTGTGACTAATTTTTAAGCTAATGAAGTCTTGTCTATTTACTAGAACTACAGGTTTGTTTCATCCATTAGGTTTTGCCTGAAATAAAATGATACTGTAAAAACACTGTTGAATTAGGAAGTTGTGACATGTGTTGTCTTTTTGCCTTCCTTTGAACCCTCGATGTGCAACCGAATTCATATTTGAATTTAGAAGGAAACCTGTGCGCTGATGGCTTGTTTTGTGAGGTTGTCTTTACACATGAAGAAGTAGTGAAGCAATAAAGTTCCAACTGAAATAAATTGAAGAGCAGAAATATTTGCAATGTTGAGGGACAGCTGGACTGTCGAAAGGAAACATGGTTTCAATAAAGTCAGATTTCATTTAGAATGTCTCTTTCTGGGTTGTTTTCTTTCTTTTCCTTGTGTTCCATTTTGTTTGATTCTGTTTCTCTTCGGTGCTGGGAAATGGAATAAAACTGAACAGAATGGACTTAAGAAAAATTGTATAGCTGAAACTGAGAAGATGTTTGTGTCTTCCAAAAATGACTTGGTTTTAGTAAATCTTGTCAAAATGCTTGGCTTATGCCAATGATCAGAGCATGTGGTCTTCTTTGTGATCTTGAACCAGTGAGTTAGTAGGAGCTGGATTTGTTCTTTGGGAGGACTTGGTTGCTGCTACCCTAAGCATCACATTCAGACATGGGTTCCACTAAAGAGTTTCTCCAGGCTGCTGGAAATCTGCACGACATCTTTTAGGTGCAACCACCAGCCACTATGACCAAGTTCCTCAAGGACTTTGATTTCATCTTAAGAGCACTTTGGAGAAATGTTATATACTGAGTCATGGTGCAGTCCTTTGGAAGGAGTATAACTTGGTCTGACTAATGAATGTGACCAAGCCCACCTACAGGGGTGACACTCTGGACAAAATGAGGGATTGTTGGGATTCTTAATCACTGAAAACATAACAAAGCTTAGTACAAAAGAGGTGAATGAATGGCATTTCCAAAGGTGTGAATTATTTGTGTGCCTTCATTCTAGGGTGTGCAGACTTGGCCCAACTTCCAGAAAAAAAGTACTGGTCGACTCAGTCACTCAGAATGGGCTACTTAAACTGAAACTTTCACCCCAAGAGGAAGGGAGAGAAACTGATATCCTACAAGTAGCTTACACCAAGCTATGTGTATAATAGTTGTTAAAAAGAGTAGTGATAGAAGTAATACCAGTAAATCTTGGAAGTGTTTAAAGAAAGAAATATTTTTTAAAAAATTAATCTTTTAATTAAAAGATTGCCTGATCCTCAATGATCACTGCTTCAAGCTGCCCTTTTCCTTTGGATGTAGGACTAGAGTTTGTTCATTGTTTTTTGCTGCCACGTGAAGAATTGCACAGTCCTTCCACTCTGAGGCTCTTTTTTTGTTCTCTTTCCAAGACTGAGGTTAAAGCACATTAAAACAAGTCACTGAAAAAGCAACAGGAGGATATTGCTCTACTATGCTAAGCAGTTCAGTTGGAAAGCTTTCATGAAGAGCTGCTCTTAATGAATGTGTGACCTATGCAATGCCTACTCCTGCTCTCGGAGTCTTTGAAGCAGAAGACATGACCAGTGTGTTTAAAACTACAAAATTTGAATGGTGGTTATCACTTCATAGCACTATTGTTTAGCAGCTTAACTGCTTGGTTTATCTTTGTACAGGTGTGTTTTCTGAATTGTTTTGAATCATGTAGACCCTCTCAGCACATGGTTGCTGTCAACGTTGCTGTCAGTGAGGTGAGGCACAGGACCTCTGTTCCCATTTGCCTCACACTGTGCTTTCCCCTTCCTCCCCCACCTTTTTTTCACACCCTTATCACCACTGTACTTCATCTAATGCCTCTGTGTTAAAAGTAATATTCCACTCTGTGACTAAAGGGATTTAAATGCTGTCTGTGCAGACCAGGCAACTATGATGGAGTTACCTGTTCTGTGCTCCCTTATTTAAATTCCACAAATAAATAACAGCAGTGATGAATCCTTTTAAACTGCTACCACTCTGTCAATGCCTACAGTTCCTTGTGGATCTTTCTTCTGCAAATTTGTGACAGGAAATTACAGAAAATAAACATGAAAATGTTACTGTACATTTCATTAAGCAGAGCAATTTCCTCTGGTAAAGTGGCCAAAATGTCAGAAGATATTCTCTGACAATGTTTCAGATCAGACTGATCTATTTTGGTGGGTCAGATTACACTTGTTAAGAACCAAGGATGAGGGAAGCACGCAATTTGGAAATAGAATTGAGGGTGAACAGTACAGACACATTTTCTCAGTTTCTGGTCTCCTGATAGCCCTTGATACTTTCTTATGTAAGGTGACTGTGTGACTGTGAGCTGCCCTTCTCTGTTTCCATCTGAGCTGATAGCAGAGGGTATGTGAGCAGAGAGACAATTTCAAGGTAAAAAGCAAAGGAGACAAACCCCTTTCTGGCTCAGCTTATCGAGTTCTCTGTATCTATTGTTTCTGCACAGTCAGTCAGTGGCAGAGGCCCATTGCAGGGAATCTTTCTGGACATTACTTGTCCCCATGGACACGGACCCCGTAAATGAGTTTCACTGACTCCTTTGTGACTGCCTAAATCACAGCTGTGAGAACAAGATGGGTAGCAGTGAGTGACCAACAAAGGCCCATGTAGGAGACGCTCTGAGCTGGGGAGGTGACGTTCTGTGCCGTGGGCTGTCACCATGGAGCGTGCTGACCTGCACAGCTGCATTGCCAGAGTTCAGGCAGGTTTCATCTGTAGCAGGTTTCATCTGTAGCAGGTATCACTAGCAGGTGAGATGTCATTCAAGTGCTACTCCAACAATTTTAGGGAGGTTTCCCATGGTTTTAGACTACGTTTCCAGTATCCAGGAAACTCTTTTTTGTCACACTATATTAGGAACGGCGAAGTAAAGACACAGACTCTCTTAGCTGGGTTGCCCAAAAGAGGTTGTTTTATTATTCCTGATCTACATTTATAGACAGGTTCAAGAAGGTCTGAGAGGTAAAATTCTCATTGGTCATTAAACCAACACATCACTATTATTGGACAATTAGGAACAACACCCTTTGACTGTTTCTTGCAAGTAAACAACAAGGATCTAAACAACACCTGCAAAGGTTGTTGTCCTTCTCCAAGGACTCTTTGGATTCCCCTTTATGCTTTCTCAGGCCAGAGTGAGAACCTTGTGTGACTTAGTTTCACACAGGCTCTGTGCTCCCTGCCTGCTTTCAGCATCCATACCCATTTACTAAGCTTTGCTTCATGAGTGGTTGGGTTCAGCTCTTACCACTGGATGAAACTTCCCTATCCATTTACTAGCATGTGTGTTTGATTTTAGAAGGATTTAGAGGAGGATAAACTAAACTTTCCCTGAGGTAGAGATTTTCTACTTCCTCAGGATTACTGAAGTCTAAGCGCACAATTTGTACAAGCTGTAATTCCACCTCCCAGAACCATTGTGACTGAGAAAGATTGAAAGGCTGAGAGGAGATACAGCAATCACATTCATTTAGAGAAAAACATCAATAAAGTATTCTTTTTCATTGAATTAAAAATAAAGTGAAAGATGAACATTTGAAGAAATGAAAACCTGATTTAACTTTGAGAGAATGGCTAATACAAAATACAGCTATGAGAATGTTAAATACAATCTTCTTCTAAAGACTTTCTAAGGTAAGTGATATCAAAATGGTGGAAAGCTTTAGTCTGGCTAAAGTTGTATTTCCATATACATGACTGCATAAACATGAGTGCCACTGATGAATTCATTGTCCCTTAGCCAGCTCACATGACAGCATGAAATTTTGTGCAGTCAGGGCCATAAACCAGATCAGGAATTGGTCCAGATGAAACTCATCTGGGAATTTTTTTTAAATTTTTTTTATTTTTTTTTTACATCAACAGACTTTGTAGCCTCATTCATCACATAGCTACAGGAACTTTCAAATGACTAACGAGAAAAGCCCTCATGGAGAAACACCTGGACAGTCAACCAGCTCTTTTCAGTGGCTGGGTCAAACAAGACTGATAGAAGCCTGGGAAGCTGGACCTTCAGAACAGCTGTGCTTTGTCAGGCCCTACTAAAAACCCTCTGAGCTCTTACCTAAGATCAATGAAATTTGATGGGAAGGTAGAGCTCTAATACAATATTTCGTACAGGTTTTGGTGAAACTGGTACACAGGAGTAAGGCTGGAGAGGCCAACGTTTCCTTCTTCACTGCAAAAGCCACAGAACCCAGCTGCCTGAGTACCTCTGCCCCAAAACACTGCTGTCTCTGTGCAGGACATGGAAAAATGGGGATATTATGGTAAAGGAGGGAAGGCTAAGGAGAGGAGGCATTACTATTCATAAAGCTATTAATTAGGTTTTTTCCTTTGGAAAGTGCTTATATTTCAGAGCTTTTCCCCACAGCTCTGTGCATAAAAGGGAGAGAGAGATCTTTCACTGGAAAGATCAAGATGCCTACAAGGTATCCATCCATAAGCCATATTGATTGCATCAGCCTGATTTTAAGATACTATTTCCATCTTCATACTCCAGACAGAAAAGCCCCTCTCCTGCCTCATATCTGCAGGCTGTGCTCAAGGAGTGTAAGCACATCTCTGTCCCTTTCTTGGCACCCTCAGAGCTCAAGGGCTTGGAAGTGGTGGCTCCAGCTGCTGCCCTTATGGGGCACTCCCAGCCCTTCCAGAGTCAGCACAGGTGGGGACAGCACCTGTTGCAGGGAGGATTAAGATAAGGAGGCTGTCTTGAAGAGCAAATCACTCTCTAGCTTACAGGGACTGCAGTCCTGCTTCCAAGGGCACAGCAGAAAGCCAGAGGGATAGGTAGGTCCAACCCAAGGGCCTGTAGGCTTGCAGGCACAAGCATCAGAGCAGGCTTGGAAGGCAAGCTGTGGAGCTGAGACATTTCTGTGGCTCTTGTGAGGTGCATGTGTTCAAGAGGACTGGCTTGGGGACAGCAAGGATGTGGAGTGTGTGTTTGTATCTGCATTTGACCTGTGGACTCCCACAGCTCTAGAGGAAGCAGCGGTGTATGCTTCTCTAAAATAAAAGGTGTGGTTGAGTCATATTTATGCTCTTTATTATCTGCTGATAGTTTAACTAAGTCAGCCAGACTAAAGGGTGAACAAGGCTTTCCCAGTTCAGGCCCCTTCACCAATGCAAGTGGAATCTGCTGTAAAGGGCTGAGGTCTTGCAGGTATCCATGAAGCCACTAGGAAATTTGGCTGGTTTAGACCACCTTCCACAGGGATGGAAGGATAGGCTTCCTCACAAGGGTGTTGGGGACTTAATTTCATTGATGTGCCTAATGCAAACTCACAGTGTGATGATAGGTGTGAAATAGAAATCTAAGGCAGCACATCTGAAAAGTGTGGAGTAAAGGTGTGTGGTCATGCACTGAGCATTTGGGATGAGATAAACTAATTAAATGGAGTTAATCAGGGTAGCCTATTTCATGTGCTGTATAAATCAAATATACTTTGTGGTAGTAATTCTGTTCTATAACGTCCATGTGTCGAAAGAATGAATAAATTAATTTTCACATGCAATCTTAATTTTGGTTTGTGCTAGTTGCAGGGATTAACTTTGACACATTTGTGGGTTATCCAGGGTCTAGGCACACACACACACGTGCTGTGTGGTCCAAGGGCACCCAAACAGTGGATTGCTGTTAGGCACGATGCTGGATCAGAGTTTTCGTTCATGGTACCCTCACAGTGCTTTGTCCTCAGAGTACATTTTACCAGACAATTGTTTCGGCAAGCTTTGACAGTTCGAAAGGCTGCCTGCTTTCTGAGTACAAAGCCAATGTCAGCAGCTCCACAAACTGCTGTTGCTGTCAGAAAGCACGGTCTGCTGGCTCTCTGCCTCCATCACCCTCTCCTTTGGTTAGCTGAGGCATTCCTGCAGCTTTATGGGGAACAGGATATAGGAACAGGTCAAGGTAATACTTAGTGTTGCTGAAATTAAAGCTGATTTAAAGTGCTTCTGTAAATTGTGTGTAGACATGTGCAGCCAAGACCTGAGAGATGAAGATGAAGGGAACATGCACTCTGGAAAACCTTCAGCAAACCCTCTATGACACTTGCTGTATGTTACAAAGTCACATCCTAAAGCCTGAAATTGTGAAAAGTGGGGACTGGTTTTGATGTCGAAGTTGAGTATCTGTGTAGATAAGCATTATGAGGTTGTGAAGGTGTCCTGGGTTGAGAACTGACCACAGCTGAATACCTCACCAGCTCTGCTTGAGAATTCTCCTGTTGTAAGGAGAGAAAGTCCATATTAAAGCTGCAGATAGTTTTTTCCCTTAATTTATAAAATGTCAGATGTTTCATGACAGATGTTCAAGCTTATATTCAGGTGATTTTCATTAGGAGGAGACAGAGAGGTGTATGATAAATAAGGTACATAGCAGGTCATCACCTGAGCAGTCACCAGTCTGAGTGTGCATGGACAGGTGGAAGGCATGAGCTTTAATTGTAGGGTGGAGCTGTATCTGTGTCTGAGATACCCTGTCTAAGGTAAACATTTTTGTTATTTTTATTTAGCATTCCCCCTATTCTTCCTCAGATATAAAGAGAAGAAAACAACTGTGTGATATGTAAAGGAAAGTCTTAAACTGCAGAAATTACTAAAACAGATGAGAACAACACTATGCCACCTCATGTGTTGTCAACAGCTAACATAGGTATGAAAATCTAGAACAAAAAGAGATTGGAACTGTGCCAAATATGAGAGGAGAAAATTTCTGGTCTTCAGATCAAATAGCCAGAGATTTGGTGAGAAGTCAGGAGATAATTGCTAGGAAGTATGGGAATATTAAAACTTTTGGTTATGGTATATGGTTGTGTTGAACAGAGCAAACAGGCTTTACAGTGCTGTGGGTAGGTGCCCCTGTATCCCCCAGAAGGACAGGTACTGGATACTGACTGCCCACCCTGGCGCTGGTCAGCTGTGTCTATCCCGGGGTAAAAGTGTTTCAGAATCATAGAATCATTTTTAGATTGAAAAAGAGCTTTAATATCTACTCCAACCACTAATCTAGCACTGCCAAGCCCACCTCTAAAGCATGTCCTTCAGCACCACATCTATGTCTTCTCTAAGTATCTCTGGGGAGGGTGACTCAAACACTTCCTTGGGCAGCCTCTTCCAGCGCTTAACACCCCTTTTGGTGGAGAAATTTTTCCTGGTACCCAACCTAAAGCTCCCTAGTACAAGAGCTGTAAGATTTCAGCAGTTGTTGTCCCAGACACTGAAGTGCTGAAAAAATAATGACTGATGTGTTGAACATGACTCAGTACCCAGTAGCAGCCCATATGGAGTGGGACAGATCCAGTGCCCTCCTGTTATGCAAGGGCCTGATGGAATTTCTGAAATCTTGCACATCTAGGATACCTGGCACCTAGAAGACCTGAATTACAGTTGTCTGGTTGAAAGACTGTTTATTTGCTAACTGAGATCAGTTTGTTACCTGGCAGCACAGTGTAGCATCTGCTAATTGACTGGGAATGAAGCTCAGTGGCAACAAGGAATTTGGAAACACTGAGCTGAGGGAATGCACATCATCAGCTTCAATCCGAGGGTACTTAGTCATGGTCCAAAGTGGCTGGGGTTTGCTTTCAGTTCGATGTTTCATATGCTGTTACCTGTATAAATTCAGTATGTCAGAGCTTTAGAAAATTGCTTTTCTTGCCTTTTCATATTCTCCATATGTTTTTGCTCAGGTAACCGCAGAAACATAGCTCATTTCAGTGTAATATTTCTTATGTCAATATTTTATCCTTTGTAAGCTGTATAACTAGATGAGATGCTAACATATAACCCAGAAAAGAATTCTCACTTTAAATGGAAATGCAAAAATAATGGAATATTGCCATTCTGGAAATAGTTGTTTTCCTTTGGATTTAGGCTGATTTATGCACTCTCTTTTTTTCAAGTGCTGGCTTACAGCTAGTGACAAGGAGTGAGCCTGAAAGCTGCAGCACTGATGCTCCTTGACGTGGTGTTGCTGCCTGTGTACAAATAAGGACAGGGCCGGTAAAGGGCTGGGAGCCTGTCGACTCTGCAGGCAGGGATTTAAAGCTTGTAGCTGGCATAAAAGCAGAGGTGTAAAGCTTTCATCTCAATAGCTCAAATGACAAAGGCAAAGTAGCCGCAGCAGCGCTGGCCCTGAATGGTTAGACAGATACGCCTCAGAGTTAGAGCAGTCTTGGTATCCTGGCCGGTCAGATGGAAAACCACTTTGTGTGCACCTGTACAGAGGTATTTGCATCCCTAACACTGCTCTGCCAGTGTGAGGGAGAGCAGAGATCCAAATTGTTGCTCTGCCAGTGTGAGGGAGAGCAGAGATCCAAATTGTTGCTCTGCCAGTGTGAGGGAGAGCAGAGAGATGCCCAGGCATCGCTAAGGGGCCCTCACCTCCTGCAGCCCTGAGAACAGCTGGCGACATTGCAGGAGCGTGGGGCTCTTGTCGGAATTGCCAGGGGCTTGGGAAGCACAGCCCTGGCTCCTACCTCCAGACAAGTGTATTTCAAAGAAGGTAAAGAAACAGCCTCAGAGCCTTGCAGCAAGTTCAGTGTGGTGTAAATTCTTCAGGCAATGCAAGAAAAGAGGAATTTGTATTTAAAGGTCACGAACTTTGCTTTCAGTACTACAGTAAAATAGAATTTAAAAGAGGCATATAAATAGCAAATATGTGTGTCTTGATGAATGTAACAGCATTTTGAAAAGGACAAAGGATTCCCCTGAATAATATTTAAACTTCCATGTTGCAAATTGCTTGAATGAATAAAAATGACATTTTTAGAAGGTCAGAAATTGCTTCAGAAAGGCATCTAATCTTTAAAGTTCAGTAAAGAAATCTGCTTCTTGCAGCCTTGCTTCTGTTCATGTTGCTCTGGACTCACTTCCAGCTGAGGAATCTGAGCTGTGGGGGAACTGAGCCTCTCTGTGTATTAAGGTGTATCAATCTGGACAGTGGCCCTTTCTGGATGCTTTTCATTAACACCAGTGACTGTACAAGCTCAACAAACCTCTAGGAAAGTCCATCCCTTTCCCAAAGAAAGCTGAGGGGGAAATTCTGATCATTCGGTGCAAATCGCAGTCTACGTGGCAAAGCAAAAATAGCTGCTGTAGCTGGCAGAGGATGCTGATAGGATTTTCTGTAGATGTGTGGTTGGCACCATTTTCCTTCAGCCCTGCCTCTTAGTGAGCTGCCTGAAGTGTACCTGCTCTTGCTTTTCTGCTTCTGCTCTCAGATTAGCAAGATTATGGGTTTCCTCCCTTTCTGGGAGATGTTTAGCCATGGGTATAGAGTGTGCTGTGGATGGGGGGCTGGAAGGGCATGGGAGAAGCAGGGGCTTCCCCAGGGCAGACAGCTCAGTGTCCCGTACCTGGAACCAATGGACTGAACTTGCATTTTGGTGCTCAGCCTGTCTCCATTCAAATACACACCTTAATGTGTTTTTGTCATCAGTGGCATTACAGACAACACAGTTAATTTCATGCCACTATATCAAAGGAATGTACCTGCCCTTAAACCTTGCCCCCCTGAAGCAAATGTCCCGGGGAATGCAGGAGGATGGGGTTGGAGAGATGGTAGTTTGACCTTTTGTAGACAGGGTAATTGGTGGGATGAAGTTGCATTTTTAAGGGCCTGTCTGAAGTAGTGCTCTGCTGGTGCTACATTGACCAGTGCATGAAAGGGCAGCGTCTGTGAAAAATGCAGCCAGCAAGGAGCAATGTTGTCTTCTTGGAAATGTGCTCATGATCCCTCCTCCTCCCCCTCCTTGCCTGGCAGATGAGGAGAGCAGGGGATAAACCACATTGCCATCATTTTTAGTGGGTTAAACAAGGGCTGTGTGAGTATTGAGCTGCCAAACTCAAACTCAGATTTTCCCACCTGGGAGGTGAATGTGGCACAGATCCAAATCTTCCGGGGTCTGACCTCCCCATGGCAAATTCTCTTTCTTGGCCTGTCTTGTTAGTCTTTTGCATAGTAACTGACTGTACCTCACCTGGAAACGACATGTGTTGCTGTGACCTTTTACTTGTTGTTTTCTTTCTATCAATTTTGTGCAATTCCAAGGCACAGTTACAGTGTGGGCTGAGTAATTATGTTGCTGATTTACACGCCTCTTATGTAATTATAGTTACAGAGACAATATCGGCCTCCTTCTCTCTAAAGTTGCACCATGGTAAGGATGTTTTATCACTATTGCATTTTTGGTAATTCATTTGGTCTGCTTAGACTTTAGCACAGGCTTCTAAAAAAAAGGATTTTTCCATGCTATCACCAAAGGGTAACAGGCATTGTATGCTCACTTGTTCTTGGAGAGTCCCAAGGGTGCAGGGGTGGATGGCACAAGCTACAGCAATATGTGTGGTTAGCACTAGATCAAGGAACAGAATGAATAGGAAGGCTTGGCCTGATCTCATCAGCAAATTAGATTAAATAGACTTTGCAGGCTGATTGAAGCTCTAGTTGTCAGAGTGTCAGTGAACCCTGGTTCGTGAGCTGATTGGAAAATTGCAGTTTTCCTTCTGGTAACTTTGAATGTCTTCCTTCCCTTCATCCTGCTATTGTTTCACTCTGGTATTTCAGAGCCTGTTCATTTTGGTCGATATTTCCAAATAAAACAAAGTCACGTTCAATAGCAAAAGAAATATTATTGGGGAATTTGCTGTAGGAACAGTTGTGAGAATTGAGTTTTTCTGATAAATGTGTAAATAACTGAAACTTGGAGTTTGACCATCTGCCTTCATCTGTTTCAGGCCAGCTTACCTGAGTACACCTTTGGATGGATGCTGGGAAGACAATTTCATTTCATCTTTCCTGCCACTCTACACTGACTGACAAGGAATTCAGCTCAAGGTCACTGTGTAACCTGGTAGGTCTGACTCTTTTCTTGCAATGGCGATGACATGGTGTTGCTGGACTACTGAAGATGTATTATGGCAAGCATAAATAGCTGAATTGTGGGGATCAGAGGTTTCATAAGTCTTTGGACCAAAACTCCCCATCCTTAGTGCGGGTTTGTCAGCAGTGAATTTGGTCTTCAGGAGTTGTGGTGGGAAGTTCTGGTTAGGTCAGAGCAATACACCCACCAGCTGGTGTCTTGTGTGCACTGGTCTGGTCACAGATGCACCCTGTGCAAAGTGAGAGGCCCACTTTGGGGAGGTCTGAAGTGGCACTGGGGCCTGATTCTGCCTTTGTCTTGCAGTGATAGAGAAATTTTGTCACCAGGCTCTCATCTCCACTAGATACTTTTTTGGCACAGACCTATCAATCTCTGGTAGCTCAAGCAAGGTACCTCTAAAGAGGGACCCCAAACAAAGAAATCCCTGGCCAATTGTACCCTTACAATTTGAATTCCTTATCCTTCATGTGACAGTATGGACAAGCAGACAAATTACAGTCTGGGGTGTTATCACTCTTCATTGGTTCACTGTTTTGTTACCAGATGTTGCAATGTTGTCTTCATACCTAGGTCAGATTTAGTGAAAGTTTCAGCTGATTCTGCAGTCGGTGTTGTAATGTGTCTGTTATAGTTCATATACCATGGCCTGGGGGCTCTCTACTCTGCCTATTAATTTTTAAGAATTATTTAAGCTGCTAGCTTTGTCTACCCTAGCCCTTATTAATGCTCAGACTGTTAGCTCCAGATTCAACTTCAGTCCACCTTTGACTTCCACAACATAACAGCAGAGCTCAGGTAAAGTTCAACTTGAAGCCTAACAAATCTAGATATTTATGTCTACTTTCAAATAATATAAAAATGTCAACATGCAGGCTCTCCAGAGACAGGTCTTACCTGGAGCAGCCATATCTTTGTTCATTTGGTGTGTCTACAGGGTTAAGACCATGGCAGGATCACCCTGTGTGGGAGGGAGGCAGGAATTCGTGTAGTGTGAAGAGTTTGCTGCTGGTGCCTGCAGTTTTCTGTAGTAAGAGGTGTCTCATCAGGCTTGACAGTGTGCAGGCAATTTTGTACATGGATCCGTGCACCCTTTCAGTGATCCTGGTGCAGGTTTGAACTGTCAGTGCTGCTGCAGTTTGACCTCCCACTGTCCTCCACAAGCATGTCCCCACCACCTCTCAGCATGCTAGTGGTTCTCAGAAATTATTTGGTTAAAAACAGCCCTAACAAGATTAAAGTTTTCTTTCGGACAGCCTGATAGACATGACACCTTAGATTCAGACTGGCTTCAAGAGCTGTGAGAAAACCCATTGGCTTCAAACCCCACAGAGAGCTGCTGCCCAAGGGTCTAACAAGCTGTCAGCCTAAATGCTGTTACAGGATGTCCATCCCTTCTTTCTCAGCACCCATGTCATGTCCAAGTGCATGGAGATGTAGGTGGAACTGTCTGCCCTGTTGTTATCTTCCATGGAAATAATGAAGAAGAAACCAGAGGAAAACAAGAAAGTGGGATTTATTCCATCACAACCAAGGGTTCTGCTCACGCTTCTACATGTCTGCAGGTTGCAGAGACTATGGCCCAGAGAAATTTTAAGTGAGTAAGTTGCTAAGAGTTTGTTGTGGTGGAGGGTGGAAAAAAAATGAGATCAATTTTATCAGTCAGAGTTTAGGTGACATTTGAGAAATGCTAAATTAACCTTCAAAATGTCTCCAAATGTCTTGTTTAGGAAAAAAAAAAAAGGACATTCAGTCTGGGTAAAACAGACAATGAATGAGTGCATGTAAACAAATTCCCTAAAGCATTCATAAATGCATTTCCTCAGCCTCCAGTATTACATCAGGTAATGAATTATTTTCACATCTGCTTTATTGAACAAAAAATACCACCATCTGAGCTTGAAGGTGAAGAGGGAGCAATATATTTAAACTAAACCTGGATGTAGTTTGAACACAGAGACTATTTAAAAAAAAAATTCTGCACATTCACAATATTGTTTCCCTGTTCCAATTAGAAAAAATGAAAACAGGCTTAGTTCTGTATTTTGTTGAAAATACAACTTTGACTTTAGTTTGTGTGATTCGAATTTCAGACCTTAAAAAAACTGAGATGAAAATTGAATGGAATATTAATATAGGTTAACTCTTGTGGAGATCCTTACCAGACTTGCCTGGTGCTTGTTGGCCCTCTGCTTGCACTCCCACACATGAGATGCTGACAGAGATATACACATCCTTCCAAAGAGAGTCTGTCTTTTGAGGATAACCCAAGCACGCTGGAGCCGCAGTATTGCTGCTGGAGCCATGGAGGGAATAGATTTTTCCTTGTTGGTCTAGGTTCCCTCAAGGCAAAGCCTGGCCCATTGCTGCTTGGCTCCAGGCATCCTGGCACTTAGACAAGGCCAGTTGTCAAGTTTTTCTGAGGCAGTACATCTCAATAGTCACAGTGGACCACACTCCCCATGGGTATCAGCTGAATACACTGCCTTCAGGAAGGATTAATGCCCACTAATCCTCCATTCAAGAGAAAAAGACTCAGGTGTTTGCCAAGCACCAATGAGCCAGTTTAGTCCTTTCCTCCCTCCCTGCACTTCTATTTCTTTTTATAAATAAATCCTTCTCAAAATTACAAAAGCAGATCCAAGCAGTCACAGTGACTCAGCTGTAAAGCCAAAAGCAGCCCATATTGCAGATTAAAATTGCAATTGGTAATATCATTGTGCAGCACCGTGAAAATATAAAATCACTCTTTTCCTACTTGCTACATGCAAAGTACCACGTGCAAAGATTTACATCAAGCCAGAATAGTTGCTAGTAGAGAAAAGGAGGAACTGACATCCTCAAAGGGGTTAGAAACCATCTCCCTCTGTTTTACCAGTACTGTGATCTTGGCTGGGTTTATCTGAAAAGGAAAAAGGAGACAGACTCAAAAGCAATGTATGACAGGGCACTCATTCACAGATTAATGGTACAGGGAGTGGTATTTCACCACTTTTCTGTGATATTTTTTACTTCCAAAGATAGCAATCATGATATTTTTAATCTGAAATCCACCCAGAGCTACAGTAACTGCAGGTGCTGCTCATTTCAGTCAAGCATTTAAGAGTTTACAAAGATTTAAACTGATTAAGTGTTAGAGAGGAGTGATGAATTCCAGATACTGATGTGCTAATTACGATAATGCATTTGTAGTGATTGCTTACAAGTGTAATTGCCTTTCTCATTGAATCCAGCTCTCTTTGATCCTTGGTCATGGGACAAAATAGATAGGAGTGTCACCAAATCTCCGAAAACTGGAATATGACATCTAAACACCAGTTAAGTGCTAAGAAGAGCATCATTTATTCAGGCACCTGGTTTCACAGTCTGTTCTTTATCTCTCTTTTTTTGTATCTTATTCCTATTCTCATAAGGTAACTGTCCCAACACTGATGTTGTCCAAATTCTGGCTTTCTCCCAGACAAACTAAACAATATTTATGTGTTCCTTTTGATTTCAACAGTAGAATTTCCATTGATGATAATAGGAACAGGAAATCTTCATAATCCTGTGAGTTTCTTCTTGCTGTCCAACCATGGTCTTGCTCATCCCTTCTGTTAAAATGCTGTGTTTACTCTGTGTCCTGCTGGGATGAGGTCAGGACTTTTTTTTACCCAGACTTTGCCCAGCCACTGGTTTCCCTCTGCCTCTTCAACACGTCCTAGAAGATACTTGAGCACTTGACTGACTTTGGTTCTACATTATTTATCATTATTTTGTTTCTATCCCAAACCAAGGATGCAAAAATCATGTTAGAATCTGTACAACAATTTTACCTTTGTTTCTTTCATTACCAATTACTTCTCTAACTATTGCCAGAAGGCATGAGGCATTGCCATGCACAATATAACTCTGCTTTTCAAATACCATAAACTGAAGAAGGCTTGCTGAACTGTGCTTACAAAAGAGAAGCTCTTCAGCTTTGATAAGAAAACAACCAAGATCCAGCATTTCTTCCTTATGGTCATTCCCTCCACTAGTTAAAACTATCCAAAATCTGTAAAAGCTTTTTGAAAAAGGTGTGATTTTTATGTCTGTCCTTCCCATTGTGTGTGGAAGGGTATTGAATGACCCCTTTTTTCTTTTTCCTCATCTCCTTTGATCACCTGATAACACTGGAGCTTATGCTTTATTGTTCATTATTGTTATCATCTCTAGTGCCTTTCTAGTCTTGGGCTTTGCATGCACAGCACCACTTTCTCTAGATAGAGGGGACATTCTTTTCCCCTTGATGCATAGTTTGGTGCTTAATTGTACTCATACACCTTTTTTTTTGTATAGGGCTAATTTACTGAATGTCCTTGTCCTGCTTTTGTGAACACTCAGCCCCCATCACTGTTTATCTGTTTGACATCTGCATAGCTTAGCAGAAGGGATTTCCTTTATGTTTCCAAATCACTGATAAGTATACTGAATCAGATCAATATGATATTTCTCTTCTTTCTTTTTTGATCTGCCTACAGGGTTCAGATTGTGTAATGCTTAGCGGCAAAGCAATTGCAAGAGCCCTGGGGAAAGAACCTTCAGTGGAAGGTAATTCCTCAATGCCCTCTTTGCCTGCACATTCCTGGCAGAGGGCACCTGCAGCCAGCTCTGCCTGTCCCCCACATTTCCTTCTGTCCCGTTTCTGTATAGCAAGTGGAGCTGGAGGATGAGATGGAAAGGAGACCCCTGCCATTAGGGATTGTGTGGGGATTGCTCTGGATTTCAGCACACTGCAACATGGTGACAGGAGAATTTCTGACACACTGTAAGGGATTTATGAAGCTGCAATGGGATGGCAGGAGAAAGCCCTAAATGGGGGGGTTTGGTATGCCAAAATGTCATGCTGCAGTTCTGATTGTAGCTGTGTGTTGTAGTAAACAAACTTTCCTGATAGTCACTCTACTTGAAAAACCTTCTTTTTCTTTTTTCTGTCATCTGCTTTCAGCAATGCTTTAAAGAACTTAAAAGCAGCTTTAGAGTAGAAGTGCCACTTCTGTCTCTGCTTGCAGGTATACCACCTGAAATAGTATGAACCATAAATCACTTTAATAGATAACAGCAGAAGCTTCACAAATCCTTGTGATTCAAACTTCAGAGGCAGCTAATGTAGCAATTCAGAAGAGGAAAACTGGGAGACTGCAGTTGTATTTTGTGCTGCTGGCTGGAAAGATCATGAAATGAATACAGCTAATCATATAAAGATTGTCAGTCAATAGAGCAGTGGTTCTGTGTTTAAATGGTTTAATGACTCCACCGGTGAATGTCCTGTAGCTTGATAATCATTTGTCTTTGAGTTAATTATCTGAGTCATATTAGCTTTGTGAAGTAGAAATGGAGTAGTGGGAGGCTTTTATTACACCATAAAAATATTAAAATCAGACTGCTATACTGTTAATCTTAAATGAGAATGTCTTGGCAGAGACAAGCACTTAGGGCACTTTTACCCTGAAGCTCCCCTTCTCCTTGAACAAACAGCAAAGCAATCAGGCATGCTGAGTCTTTTATCCAAAAGCTTTTACTTTACTGAAAAAACAGGTGTCAGAGTTGGTGTGACTGTCTCCTAGACAGAAGGGTGGTATAGAGGCAGAGGCAGTGTCTAAGGATGCAGCTGGATACAGCAGCATGCAGAGGTATCCAAACTGGCTCTGAATATGGAGTAGAATGACCAGGGTACCGTGGCCCCTGACTTTTTGCCTGTAACCTCATGCAGGCACAAGAGTGCCATAGGAAGGCCTACTCAAGTGATAGGCTTGGACATGGCTTTTGACCATGAGTAAATATTTCTTGGACTTTTTCCAGTCTGATTCCTTCTCTCTGCAGACTGGGGTTCAGGCTGCAGATGCAAGTGCATGGTACAAGTTACCCCACAGAAACCAGAGTTTTCCCCAGGGTGAGAAGATGAGCAAGAAGATGAAAGAGAAGTTGAAAATGAATCCCCAAACTCTCCATGAAGAGAGTGACACCTGTGAAATACTCCAAGACCAGTTTTGAAAGCCTGTCTACGAGTTTTTTGTCACAGCCTGAGGGCAGGGTAGCACATTTTATTGAGTTTAAGAGTTTTTGTCTATTGAGACCTTTTGAGCATGGATTTTGTGCTACTTAATCCCAGTTTGCCATGGGAAGGAGTGGAATTCATCAGAATTCTGATCTTGACTAGAGAGGGTTGTATTTCCCCTGAGATTGCCTTTAGTTCCTATAGATGTGACTCTGAGCATGCTTGGTGATCCAGGAATTATGTTATACCACTGCCAAACCCATAAAAATGTCAAGAAGATGTCTGAAGTTTGTGCAAAAATCCTGGAAAGATTTGTGTCCCATAGTGTCATAAAATCCAAGTTGTTTCAAGACAATTTGGTATTGTGTGATATTCCTGTCTCTCCTGTCTGTAGTGTAATTTGAATCCACTGAATTTCAGCAGGGTATCAGGGCATTCTTTCAAGAACTAGGAATGACCTGTGAAATAGGAAGAGGGCATTACTTCTTTCACCACTCTGTCACCATTTCAGTGGTTCCTCCCATCCCATTTCTTAGGTGTTTTGTTAGATAATTCTGTGTCAGTGTGCACTATTTTTCTCCTAGCATTTTGCTTGGCCGACCTGAAAAGTCCTCTCTGCAACCTGTTTTTTAAATGTCAGTTTGTTTTGAGGTGGCAGTTAAATCAGTTCAGTCCTGCCCGAAATAGTAAATGTAAACACATTAAACAGGTCTTGTGCTCTTCCTGAACAGACCCTGATCAACTCCTACTGAAACCAATAAAAAGAATCTTCCTGACTTGTGATAGGGCTGGGTTAATCTACCAGAAATATTTATTCATCACCCAACAGGCCTCCTCCAACAATGCAAACTGAAGTTCATGCTGCTTTATCTAAGAAAAGAAATTAAATTGATTAGATACTTTCAAAATATAGCAGCTTAATTGCCTTCAGGCTTTTGCAAAGTCTCCAGCTGGCTAGACTACTAATCTTTCGCAATTATTCTCATAATTATAAAATTAAAATTATGCTTGTTTTCTGATGATTGATCATGGTTCAGAATGGCTCACACTTGCATTCCTTGATATACAGATGCAGGCCTGATCTAATAAACCCACCATATCCTCAATGAAAGGTGATAAAGACCTGCTGAGATACATAAACAGAGAACCTGGCTCCAACTATTAAACAGGTTGAAGTGTGTAATTCTGAATTTCCACCAGGCCCTTTCTGGTATCTCGCTGAGTCTCTGTGTGAGCCATATCAACAGCTTGCCTCCATGTATTGTTAATTAGGTATCTCACCCACGGCTTTGGGATTTGAAGTGAGTGTTTGCTGTAGTCATGCAGTATGGTGTATTGCAGTGATTCCTCCTGGCCAAATAATGCTCTTTAAGAAAACTGAAGCAGAGCCATTCCCCCTCTCTTGAAGGAGAGGTTAGGCTAATTTAAATGAAATTTCTCTCTTTTTTTCCCTTTTCATAAGAATGCAGACATTTTTCCAGACTCAACAAGAAGCCCCAAGCCACATGAAAATCTTGGTGTAGGAGGGAAGATAGGCTAAGAGTGAGGGGAGGAGCTGCAGAGGGGTGTGAAAGCAGAGGCAGCTTGTCCCGGTTTTGCCTGAGATAATTTCTTCTAAGTAGCTGGTAGAGGGATGTGGTTTGGATTTAGTATGAGAATGATGTTGATGATTTACCGATGTTTTGGCTGTTGATGAGCAGTGCTTACCCTAAATCAAGGACTTCCCAGTGTGTCATGCTTGACCACTGGGCAGGTGCACAAGAAGCTGGGAGGGAGCATGGCCAGGGCATCTGACCCCAAGGAAATACTCTGTACCATAGAATGTCATGCTCACTACTTAAACTGGGGGAGTTACCTGGACAGGATTACTGATTGTGGGGATGGGGTTTGACATGGGTGAGCGCATGGTGATCAATTCTATTGTGCTATACTTGTTTTTCTTGGTTCTCTCTTTCTTTTTCAATTTAGTACTATTATTGTTATATTTAAATATTATTATTATATATAATAATATACATTGTTTCAATTATTGAACTGTTCTTAGCCTACAAGTTTTGCTTTTTGACTCTCCTCCTTGTTCCACTGGGGCAGAGTGGCAGGGGAGTGAGCAAGCAGCTGTGAGGTGTTTAGTTACCAGATGGGCTTAAATCATAACACATCTCCAGCGTGCTCCTCTGTGAGGGTATTTTCCCTAGAATGGGGAGTCATGAGATGAGTCTGAGGGGTTCAATACCACAGAGTGGATGCTGAACACCATGTGGAACTGGAAGTCAGGAAATTTTTATTTCTTGCCCTGGGGATTTTGGACCTGAGAAGCTACATGAAGATCTTCCTTAAGCACTTTGCTTAACCCTGTGGCCAAGACCATGGTGATGCTGAAGTGCCTCTCTTTTCCATTTGATCCAGAAAAAGTTCTCTGTGTGCAGAAAACTTAAAAATCAAAGTTCTCTCAAAAATAATAATTTGCTGCAAGAGCTTGATTGACAACAACTATTTCCAAATGACCCTACACCTTGTCCCACATTACCAGCCCATTCTTTGGGGGATGTTCTGGGAATCGCTAAGTGATTGATGACATTTGACTTTCCTCTGTGAATTATCTGACACCCATGGCGTCTCATAAACACCATCATGCTTAGTCACCTTTAAATTGCTATTTTGGTGCCATATTAATAATTTGCATGCTTCTTCCACCTACATTACATATATACAAATCAGTATCTCCCCTGTGTAGCTTTGTAAAAACTCTCTTGGATTAATCCTCCCAATGAGAAGATTAGGCCATGAGGTCCAAATGGGACTTGGTAATATTTTTCTACTTGATCAGTTTAAAGTCTCCTTTCACTCCTTAGAAACTATGTGAAGGCCTTTTAGCTTTTAGCATGATCAAGGGAGTCTGATTTATCTTTAATTTTATGTGTAAAGCATTTAAGGGACCCAAATCCTTTAAGTTAAGGACACTTTATCAATTTACTGTTACAATAATTTTTCCCTTTGGCATTAGTCTTTCCTGCCCAGGAGGCCGAGTTCTGCTGTCACTCCATACATAACTTATGCAATTACAGGCTTTTAGTCACTTCTTTGTAAAGCCATGAGCACATGTGAATGTAGCAGAGTGGGAGCCCAGGCAGTGGTGAGTGGATCCAGGCTGTCCACAAGCCACCAGTGTAGCCGCGGGCCGCTGCTCCAGCACGAGGCTGTCGTGTGAGACTGAAGAGTGCGAGTGTCTTGGGCAAAGGGGACAGAGGATTATTCTTCAAAGAGCACTGCTTGTATAACTCTGCTCTCATCAGTATTGATCTCAGCCTGAAAGCCTGAACACAAGCAAAAAGGCCAGCTGCTACCTTGTACTTTCCTGAAACCTGTGATGTGACTTGGCAGGGCAGCAATGGGGAGAGCACGCTCATGCCTGAAAGTTCATTGGCTTTTCCAGCTCTCTCAATTTGACTTAAGAGGATATTATGTCTCCAAATAGAAGTCCCCTTTGATACTATTCATATCCTCACTGCACCATTACAGAGGCATGGCCATTAGCAAGATCCAAAATGAGAGGCACAACTCCTGGTCCCCTTGAAAAGCTTGTAGAGAACACCTTGCCTTGCCTAGCTGTGGATTTAGATCTTAATAAACAGCTATAGCAGAAGCTAGAAGGACTCTCTCTTATAACCCAAAAGTTTGTTTCAAACTCATGCAACAAGGTCTAGCTAGGCTGATCATTGTATTAGATTAATTTATTCAAATTTATTCATAGTGAGATTATACCAGGGGGCAGGGTTTGTTGCAGACTTATGTTTTCAAGTAGTTTTTTTTCTTCCTTTTCCTCCTTTTCTCACTGACATTATTGTCTTAACAGGCAGAAGAAATACCTCTTTTCAGCTTTCCATTTTACCAGCCTCAACAAACCAAAAGCTCAGATTGTTCTTTGCCACATTCCCTCTTTCCCTTGTTTAACACTGAGTGGTCTCATCAGAGACCAGCAGTGACACTCACACACACTCAGACCTCTTCTGACAAACACTTCACCAGGTCCCTGTGGAGATTGTATTAGCCCCCTGACCTCACTGGCTGTGGTGGTGTCAGTAACCAGGCATCCTCTGGCAGAGGATGCTCAAGGCTTTCTTCTCTTCAGACATTTCCAGCTGATGAGTTCCCAATTTACAACAGAATTTCTCATTATTGATGTAGTCGATTATTAACACAGTGTTGTACTTACCACATTTCTGCTATTTGGGTCCTGAGGATCATCTTTCTATGTGATGCCTCAGAGTCTGTTAATTTTTACTGAGTTTATTAAAGTTGCTGAATTTTAACCTATTTTCATTTGCCTGGCTTGAGACATAATCAACAACTAAGATTCTAGTGATGTACCACTGTAAACAGCTCAGTCTGAGGAATCAGCCATGTCTATTTGTAAATTCATGCATATGTTTGTATGCCTCACCCTCTACCCCCATATTTTATGCATACCCAGAATAAGATGCCAGCAAAAATGACAAAAGATTATCTAATGAGCCATCTAGCTATAATACTTATCTAAATTAAACACTGTGTAAAATAAATTAGTTTGCTAAAGAAAATGAAACATATATTAGCTTTCACTAAATATTGCATTTACTCCACAAATTAATCCCAATCCTAGAGGTTAATAAATAAAGTAAAATCTCTTCTCCTGTAAGCACCAAGGCTTTGTGTTGGAAGGTACGCACAAATAACTTCTATACCAGTTTATCTTAATTTGTGGAATTAAGATAATTGACTTCTCTTAAGATAAAAGACTTCTCTTGACAAAAGTCACTTGTGCCTACAGTATACATGTATACAGTTTTTTTTTTTAGTGTACTTTCTGCAATTTCTTTCTTTTTTTTTTTTTCCATCAAGTGTCTCTGAAAACTACATGAAGTCCTTGTGAGGAGTAAAGCGAAGTGGCAGATAGAGTGATGCCTTCTGTGTTCTTGTCTGAAACATATCTGCACAGAGAATTAGGACTTCTGAAGAGACACTGAACTTGAGCCCTCTTATCAGCGAGCATATTCCTTGTAAAGAGAGCCAAGAGACCATTCTCAGTAGTCCTGGCTCACAGTTACCCCAAAGTGTTTGTATCCTGAGAAATTCTTTGCCAGTGTTGTGGAGTGTTCAGTTGGGTTATTTTTATTTTGTTTTTCATAGGGCCCTATGGTTTGAGAGAGGATTTTCCTGATTTCCTGCATCTTGTATTGTCAAGAAAATATGTAATCTGAGTAGACATAAGGATTTATGTTTCAGAAATGTATTCAAATGCCAGGACTTGAACTAAAATAAGTATTAGACTTGCTTTTACTTCTGCTTATGTGTCTTTAGAGACTGCTGTTAGGAGGGATCTGGTGTTTGCAGTACCTTATACTCCAAAAACATGTTTTGTAAGTCCACTTCTTTAAAGACATGGCATGATTCCCACTAAAACAATTAATATTTAAATGCTTAGGTAACTTGTAGAGAGAGTATGGACCTTCATTCACTTATGCCTTGCAAAAACTGCAGGTGTGTAAGAATAATTTTTTACTTTTTTGTTACTGTGTGGAAGTCAAATCATCCTGTGTCATCTCAAAAGCTATAATTATTTTTCCATGAAAAATATCTTTCAGAAAAAGCCCCAAACCTATAAACAGCAAAGTGGTGGCTACATTTTTCTTTTCTTGGACTGATAATGTATGCACTTCTAAGCACTGGGCTGGCAGTGTGCAGAAGGGTGAAACATGTTTCTAGGTAGAGGTTTGCTTTGGGTCTTCAATGGTCACAATGGGCAAGGTTGAATTTTGCTGCTTTGCATTAGTTTTTTCAAATTAAAAACAAAAAGAGGAGCCAGAAATTTTGCGAGGCAAAAGCAAGCTGAAAGACAAAGTACTGCTTTGCACTTTTAGCAAGATACAGAAATCTGGTCTAAGAGAACTGAACTTTAAATTACATTAAAAAAATCCAAAAGAGAATTAAATAGCTTTTTCACTCCAATTTTATTTGAAACTTGCACAGAAAGCATACATGTTTTCTTGGATTAGTGTTAGTTTAGAAAGTATCTTAGTCCTATGCTGTTTGACGTGACTGAGGAATGAGGAATGAGTATCAGATTTTTCATGCTTCTCAGGAATCTACAGTCAAATAGGACTTTATCATCATACAAGGCTTTATGTCCTAGCAGTCATGCATATGAATATTTCTGTTCACTCTGGGAATGTCAGAAGAATCTCACAGATGCCTCTTGAAATGTTAAAGCTGTTGAAAAACAGAGCTCCTCCTGGGCTGTCACGGACAAGCCAGCTGGGTGCCCTCTTCTTGTCGTGCTCAGCCCCCCTCTCTGGGCAATCAACCTTGACAGTGACTCTTGCTGCCCCCTCCTAAGTGTGGGATCTGTCAGAACAACTTTGGCACCATTAAGCAACTAAACAATCAACAGATATAGAGTGAGTTGCAGACAAGGAATAAGAAACCTACTGGAGACAGATGAAATTCCCTAAATCTCTCTCCCCAGAGACAAAGGAAGACTGTGCAAGTGTTTTCCAGACTATTGGACAAACTCAGCTTTACAATAGAAGATGTGGAGAATAAAAAAAAGGTAGTAAAATGCCATCTCTTGCACAGTAAGAAAGCAGCATAGAAAATAAGATGAATTATTTATTCCTATATTTAAGCACTTGGAAAGGATGCAGACAAAACCAGTGTGAGGCCATTTAATCTGAAGGATTCTCATATGAGGAAAGGCATCACAATCATGTCCAGAGGAAAAATGATAAGGAGAACTTGTAAATGGTACATAGTACGATAATGAATGAAAGAAAAAGCTGTTTCTTGAAAATAAATGGAGGATTACTTTATTTCAGTCCAGAGTCCTACATTATCTCATGCATATGCTTAATTTAGATGGATGGGATAATTCATGTGGTGACCCCAGTGAATATTATGTAAATTTTAGTGGGATTGAGTCATACTAAATTTGCAAATCAAAGTACTGCTCAGAAATGTTATCTGATTTCCAGGTATTAAACCTAAAAACTCCATTAATTGTTCAAAAGTAGGTAACGAGTGTACATTTATCAGATGAAAAAGCTAAAACCTACAATCTATGAAGCTTAAAAAAAGCAGTCCAGTTTTAGGAAAGTTATTACATGCCCATGGGAAAAAAAATATTGTCTGATTCTTATATACAGCCTATCCAAGGTCACTGCTGTTAAGGCTGCTGCAGATTCATAGTTTTAATTAAGCAGCAGCAAAATTTAGACGTAGAGTCTAAATAACAGAACTTCATGGTAATAAAAAGAGATACCTTATTTATTTTCCTGAGAACATAAAGCCCCATGACTTTATATATCTCCTACTTAGGAAAATGTATTTTTGTAATATAGGCAATTATAAATAAATTTTATTCAGTTCTTGCTTTACAGGGAACAAACTCATCACAAAAGATCGTAATAATAAAAACCCCTTTTTAAACCGAGTCTGCTCAAATAGGAATAATTTTTTCACTGAGAGGAAACAAACTCTGTTTCCATACAGCTGGTTATAGTACATTTTTAATACAAACACTTCAAGCTGCCTTGTAGTAAAATGAACATTGAAGTTAATATCACGCTCCACCTGCATGAGAAATTTTTCCTTACATTTGAGAACAGTGTGGTGGGAAGATGCCCAGAGGGCTGGGGAAGGGGATGCCCAGGCACTCAGAAGCAAAATTTGGCCTGACCATTGCTCCTCTGTGAAGCCTACAATGAGTTCACAAGACTGGACCTTCGACAGATTATTTATTCTAAATGTAATTTGAGCTTTGTGGTTTTGCTTGGGTCTTTTTCCAGCTCTGAGTTTGTTCAAAGATGTGTGTGGTTCCCTGCATGATTTAAGTGACAGGGATGACTTATAGGGGGTATAGGAAAGGGAAATGCTGTCGTGTGGGTGGTGAGATAAATCTGCACTGGCTAAGTGCCCTGCATGGCAGCTCCCCTTAGAATCCTGAAAAGGCAGCTCAGGGCCTTTGCCACAGAAGTGTGAAAGGATCTGCACATGGGATACGCTATGGGGTCTGGGGGGGACGACTGGTGAACCATTTGCTAGTAGCCCAGAAATAAATAACTGTCAGATGTGTCATGTGTGAGTCCTGCTAGGACCCTGGGGTGCCACTGATGTGCCAAGGTAGGACAGCAGGGAAATACCACTCTGGAAGGGGAGGAAGCTGGACCAGGTGATGTGGCAGGCAGTATCCCAGCTCTTCGTTCCCCTCTTCTCTGGCTATGACTTTGTTAAGTGGTTCTGTATAGTTACATAGAGTGACAATGGTGTTTTCTCGTTGGAAAAGTGCCCATGTTTTCATTTTAACTGGGGTCCTTGCTCTGTAATTGCTTGTAAACACTCTATCAGTTCTAAGAGCCAGATGGTGCGGTAGATGGCTTTTAGTGACTCCTGAAAAATAGAGAAGACTCAGACTAGACAGCATTTACAATTATTTTTTCTGTTTGAAGCACATAGATTGCAGCTTGCTGTAAACAGAGGGTCAAGATGAAGCCTCAAAACAGAGGCATTCAAACCCCTCATACTGAGCTTGCCCCTGGCAGTGTGCAATCTATGGACCTGCAGTACCCACCCAAAATATACGGGCCACGAGGTGCACAAGAGCACAAGGTGAGGGCTCTTGCCAGTCAGTGTCCATTTGCTTCATGGTGCACAGGAGCTGTGGGGGACCTCTGTTTTCCTCTGTACAGGTGCCAGTGTGGCTTTGCAGAACACTGTCTGTGCTAGATGCATTCTGGTTTCGACAGGACCTGCATCTCCTGCCCTCCGTCGCTCCTTTCGCGGAAAGTGCCCCCCAGCCTTTGAGTTCTTCTTTCCCTACAAAAAATATAAAGAATGGTCGGAATTAAAGGAGTCAAAAATAGTCAATCAGTTTGGGGGACTGTGTTTATGTGTTCCCTCCCCTCTTAGGGTAGTCAGAGTGACAGTAAAGGAGCAATACTCAGAAGGGGGGCAGAGGCTGTTGCTGAAGAAGCAGTAGATGAGGGGGTTGACAGCACTGTTCAAGGCTGGCAGGTTCTGAATAATCACAGATGCGTAGAAGCGCTCTTTGGTCTCAGGGAGTATGTTGAAGTTGTCCAGGATATCAAAAAGAAAGTAGGGACTCCAACAGAGAATAAATGCTGCAGAAGAGACAGAGAGAGGAAGAGCTGGACATTGGATAGTTTAGCAATTTAGGGAGGCAATTACACACTCATGGAGCGACTCTCATAACAGACAATGTCTGTTCATGCAAAAAAAAATAAAAATCCTCTCCCCATTCAGGATCTTATTTAAGAGAATAGTTATTAGATTGTGCTTTTATTTGTCTTTATTTTTATTTTAATGCCTATAAAATATATTATGTGTGTTTCTCTAAGTGTTTAGAGTGCTCCCTGTAGACATATTGAGACACTTCTGAACACTACACAACGCATAAAGGGTAAATAGGTAGCCAGTTAAAGCATCATCAGTTATAGTGAAGTGCTCTTTTAATGGTCCCCGGAGTGAGCAGCCAATCTAAATGCGCACACAGCCAAAGTGCTGCTCCGTGACAGCGCTGCCTGTCACAGCCACCTAGTAAAATAAGGTTTTCAGACACCCAGGAGCAAGGAATGACACTCTTTCACACTGCATTATGGTAAGCCAACATGTCATTTGGCATGCTGGCTGGAGGTGCTGTGTACATGGAGTGTGGAGGGAGCTTCTCCTAATTTCCTGTATTTGAGAGATGAATTGAGGAAGGGAAGAGAGGGCTGTACTGCTCATAGCCTCAGCTTTTGTTCAGAGGTGGTAGGGAAAAAAGGTTAGCCACATATCTAGCTTTATTTGTGGGCATAGGGAATTAATCTGTCCTTCACAAATTTCTGTGTCATCTCTTCTCACAACGGCTTTTGATTCAGGATGTGCATAGAAGTGCTGGGACAGGCAGTTCACTTAACTATGCTCTAAGTACCTGGGCTGCAAACATACAGGTAATTGTGAAATCAGACCCATGATCACATCCTGACCCAGATGAGA